TCACTTCGGTGGAAAGCAGTATAGGGACGAGTAACACGGCAACTATACCTTTGCTTAGCATCTTCCCTTCGTCAACTGTCGTTGTTGGGCCAGCCACTGCGTCGGAAGTATTCAGTTCAGAACTATTATCAACTTCCATTGTTGCTAGTTCAACGCCTGTGTCGTCGTCGCCTGTGTCATCCACGCCCTCGGCAGTTATTGTTACGTCTGAGTCCGCCACAGCGTCGTCGCCAGCTTCATCAGAAACCGAGTCGGCGTCCGCCTCGTCAGAGCCAGTGTCGTCAGAACCTGTGGCAACGACGCCTCAAACAGTAGTACTTACATTCTCAGTGCCTGTCGCATTCACCTCCACAACGCCAACCGAGGTATCTGCCACACCGGTAATATCATTGACCGCATCATCAGTTCCCGATTTCTTAACGTCGGCAACATTAACACTGGTTACGCCGACGACCGCATCGACATCTGATTTGTCACTACCTGTCACGTCGACACCCGACACGCTAACGTCTACGTTCTCGACGTTCACTGCGACGACGGATGTGTCGTCGGAATCCGAGACGCCAACCGACTCCGCTCCCGTCATCACATCAAGCAGTGTGTCCGACTCTATTACTTTAAGCACGTCTAGCAGAGTCACTCCGACACCATTCCTGACTACTTCGGATTTGCCTGGTTCTGAAACAGAGTCCGTCATCATCTCTTCGACCAGTCTTGTCAGTAGTCCCACCACTACAACGTCGCTACCGGCTACCACCAGCTCAACTTCGCAGGAGACATCAACCTCTCTAACCACCTCATCCGAGAGCACCATGTCGTCCGTCGCGCCGACTACTTCAAGCGTCTTGTCATCGTCTTACGAGTCCCATTCCGTATTACCAACCGGTTCGCCAAACTCGGCCGTCCCTACCGCCATCACTACCATCCCGGCATCAAGCACAATATCGCCGGATACCTTTGCCGATAACCAAGCCAAAGCCAAATCCTACAACGAGCTCTTTGCGGGTTTGACGGAGCAGTCGGCTTGCACGTCTGGCCAGGTGGCTTGTATCAAGGGGAACCTCGCTCACTGTTCCGCAGCAGGCGCATTTGATATCATCCCCTGTGCTACTGGCTTCTCGTGTCTTGCCGTGCCAATGAACAATACCGTCGGGGTCCAAGTCGGATGTTTGGCCCAGGACTCGCCCACCACGTCATCCAGCGCTCCGACTGAGACCGAAACCTTGAGCGCTAGTACTTCATATAGCGACACTGTCACGGCCACGGTCACCCCTACCTTGACTCACATAAGCTCCATCTTTGTCACGTCTGCCAGCTCCGAGGTCGAGACTGAAGTTACAGTTACCGCCACACCTACCCTGACACAGATAAGCAGCATTCTGGTAACATTCACTTCTTCCGACGAACCTACCCAGACATCAGAAGGGGATACGTTCATCACGGTAACAGCGACACCGTCCGTCACCCATGTTAGCACAGTGACGGTAACAGCCAGCTCGACCGACCAATCTACCGAGACTGAATCACCATCAAGCACCAGTGATGATACTACCAGCACGACATTCCTAACCGTGACCCGTCCGGCAATCACACAAATCTCCTCTGTGATTGTGACCCAGACCCAGACATCCGAAATCACCACTCCACCCACCCCTGTCGAAACCTCCTTACCTGAATTCTGTAACGATCCGGCGGGTTATAGCCCAACAGGGGTTGACGTCGTCCTTCCGGTCCTCTGCACTAGCACCGGCACCGGCACCATCAACCCCGACAATACGCCGACGGCGACGAAAAGTCCAACAGAGGAGGCTGATGATAATAATAATCTTCTGCTGCCCCCGACTGCGACAGTGACTGTTACAGCTACCGTTACCCAGCATGATGTGACGACTGTCACTGTAGCTTTATAAGCGGAAAAAAGGAAAAAAAAGATCGTCTAGATAGTACATTACTACTTTACTTAATAATTTTGGTTCCATTCATTTTGTTTAGCGTTGGAGTTTTTGATCCGAGTTATACCCCCCAATCCATTTTAAAGGTGTTGTTCATGGTCAAAAAAAAAGTAGCTTCTGTTAATAGAGAGAGTGTCTAATTTTTTTAATTGCTTATTTGTTGATTCTCTGTTCATGCTGTTTATGATGCTGGTAATTACTTTTCGTTTATTATAGGAGGGGGGAGGTCGTTTAATGCTTGTGAGAGCATCTAGACCTGCTGGCATAACTATTGTCCATGTCTGTAAACTGTAGAGTAGAAACCTGCACCTTTGTCCCCAAGCAAGATTATATCGTCAAGTCAAATATCCAAGCACTACCCTTACGTTAATTATAACAAAATACTCGCATCCACTCCATGATTCCACAAAGTCATAGGAAATAAGAGAAGAATTCATCGAGGTGCGCCAGAATTAGCTTGATATCGATACGTAGTTTGCATCGTCGACGTGATCACGTGCGCACGTGTATTCCTGTCATGTTTCTAACATCTCTTAAACATATAAACAAATGCAGTTTATCGCCATTCCAATAATACAGAGAAGTCATAGAGCTTTTGGAGCTGAATAGTAAAGGGAGAGCTTAAAATGCTTTACCGTTTGCCGAGAGAAAAAAAAAAATGAGGCGCAATGAGGTTTAGCTTAGGGGGGTTAACGATCTTGGCAAGGTTGATATAATACGACGAATACGCGATCGTCAATGTCTGAGCCTCAATGCTATTATGTCAGCACTCAGCAGAAGAAATAATAAAGATTTACAACAAGTAAATATAAATAAAAAGAACAACAGATCAATCACCGCTATTATTATGCGCATATGTGTAGTATAATTTCCGAGTAATTCTTGCTCTGCCTTAAAATGGATGAAGAAACCCGACTCTCAATAGACTCGCCCGACGCGCCTCTTCTCGGGCCCAGAAGAAGAAGAGTAAAGCAGCGGCAGCAGCAACATGGATATCACATAATAACCTCCCGCCGCGGAATCTCCCTCGTAGCATGTTGTGCAGTATTCCTCTGGGTATTATCCGGCATGATAGCCATGGTCCCTTCGGCACGGATAGCGGAAGACATATTCTGCCGACGATACTACAACTACAACAACAAAAACGAAAACGAAAACGAAAACCCCATTGAAGAAAGTAAATGCAAACTCGACGAAATCCAATCCTCCATGGCCTGGCTCTTCGGTCTCGAAATGGCAATCAGTGGTTTCGTCGGACTCGTCGCCGTCTTGCCCTTCGGGGTATTAGCAGATCGCGCGAGGAAACGCGTGTATTTACTCGGGGCGACGGGACAATTGGCTAGTGTCGTCTGGTCGTTGGTCGTGTTGCGGTTTTGGAGGGTCGAGATGATTCTGTTGGGGCCGGTATTCGGATTCCTTGGGGGAGGGTTACAGATGGCGATTGTGGTTTTGTATGCTGTTATTTCGGATGTTAATGAGTCGGAGGATAGGTATGTTACCCCCCCTTTAGATTGATTAGGGTCGGGATTTACTAACGAAAGAAAAAGGGCAATAATGTACTTCTTCGCCTCATTAGCAGCCAACCTAGCCGTCTTCGTCGGCCCGCCTCTGGCTTCCAAAATGATGGATATTTGGGGTCCGTGGGTGCCCATGTTACTGTGTCTTTTAATCACGTTCATGGCCGGGGGGCTTATTCTCTTGATTCCTGAAACTGCAGCAGCAGCAGCGGCACAGAAACAGAAACAGGACTCATCAGAAGAAGAAAACAAAGAAGAACCCTGGCTCCAGAAACTCCAACAATCCCTCCCCAATTTCCACACCCTCCTCAAAAACCACCACCGCATCATCCCCCTCCTCATAATCTTCACCCTAATCGCCCCCCTCCCCATCGCAATGGGCCCCTTATTCCTGCAATACTACAGCACGCGCTTCAACCGACCCCTCAAAGAAGCAGGCTACATCCTCGCCATCCGAGGCGGTCTAACCGTCGTCGTCCTCGGCATCATCTTACCCCTGTTATCCAAATCCTTAACTCGTCTTCTTCTTCTAAAGAGAAAAACAAATATCCCGTCCGATCTCATCCTCGCCCAAATCTCCGCCGCATTCGTCCTAACGGGATATATCCTCCTCGGCAGCCCACACGTATTACCCGGCATCATCTTCCTCTCGCTAAGCACGGGTCTCGCACCACTCTGTCGCTCGCTGGTTTCCAGACTCGTGAATCCGGAACAGATGTCGCAGGTCTTCACAATCGTGAGTATTGTCGAAGGAATCGGCGCTTTACCTGCCGGTCCGTTCCTCGCCTGGACTTTTTCGCTGGGTATGAGGGTTGGTGGGGTGTGGGTTGGTTTACCGTTTTTTGTGTTGGCTGCGCTTGGGGCGTTGGTCTTTGGGGTGTTGTTTCTTGTTTACGAGTACGGGGGTAGTGGTGATGTGAATGTGAATGTGAATGTCAATGAGGAGGGAGTAGAAGGGGGAAATCTGGATTTGTAGTCTTTCTTATTTACATACATGGCAGCTTTCCAGATCTAGGGCGGAATGAAACTGAACTGTTCACATAAAATTGAGGCTCCGTCCTGACCAATCCCACATCCCGCGTACGTAACCTGAGCGTATATTTGTGAGCCGACCCGGTACAGACATTAATATCGGCCGTCTTCCACCGTTCTTTGATAAAAGAAGGATCAACCCCATTTATCGGCGTTAAGGATCCTTGTCGCACCCCGACCCGGAACACGGAAGGAGGGTACCGTTTTTGCGGCTTTTTATTTTAATTTCCAATATTAATATATAACCTTCCATCGGTAGCCCTACGTGTCTACTTAAGTTACATATGTCGTTAAGACAAGACATAAAAAATATATGGAGAAAAAAAAGAACACTTTACTTGCCTACCTCGGGTCTTGATAACGGCTGCAAAACTGATGACATCAGTCATGTTGAGTCTTAATCTTACGTACACAAGTACGTACGTGCATCATCTGGATGGGATGGTTTCTTTTCTTGCAACTACATGGATTCCATCACCATTGGAAATAAGCAAATCAGGCCCTGGTAGCTCAATTGGTTAGAGCGTCGGACTTTTATCCAGTACACCACTAGTAAAGAGTCTATCCGAAGGCTGCGGGTTCGACCCCCGCCTGGGGCGATGTTTAATTATCATCTTTTTGTCGAGAATCTCTTTTTGTTATTTCCTCTTTTTTTCGGGGGGTTTTTTTGGCTTGCTTCATCCTCTTCTACTTTTTTTCCCCTAACATATTCCCTTCCCCCCTGGTTGTAGGTGCTCCCTGTGACGTGTTTAGTATCCCGACGTGCTCCGTGGGGATTTTCTTTGCAGGTAGACGAGGTATTCGAATCAACGTAAAGTTACTAGGTTATACAAGTCACTGGTCACTTTTTTCCAAAACATCTAGACTGATACGATGTGTTTGCGATGGTTTTATTCTGATTAACTCAACCCTGGGAAAGGGTAACTCAATTGCGTTGCTGTGTTGTAGCCGATATCTTTAGCTTGTGCCCTCCATTTCATCACAATGTCGACGAGTCATCCCTTCGGGCACATGCCAGCAATCTAGCTAATCAACGCGAGTGGCCTTTTTCTCCGTGCCTTTTCCCCAGCCACAGCCAGAGGAAGTCGTAGGTGGCCAAGCAAGTAAATTTCATCGCTACTTTACATCTCGATGAACTCCCATACCACAGCGTCTTCGGGTTTGGCGATGATTAGGTCTGTGATCGTACGAGTACTAACGCCAATGGGTCGCAGCTCGTTCTTGTCTTTTCCGTAGAGATTAAATCTGCCAGACATGCATGGGCGCAGCATGAATAGGCCATAGTCTGTCGTTGTAGAATATCCCTGGGGGGAAACCCGGTCATTCCACGGGTCAAGCCCGATATATGTTCCTGAGACAACGTTGCGGAACGCCAGCCATCCCACCGAAGGCTCCACGCATTTCCACTGCCACGCGCCACTGTAAATTCCCTGAGCAACGAGCTTAATCCCTCCATCTATGAGCGAGATCACCAAATCAGTCCCCGCCTGTCGAATCATGTAGTTCTTATTCGCTTCGGGGATGCTAGGGATGTTGTTAGGGATACACGCGCATCCTGGACAATGCTCGCAAGTGTGTCCCAAGGCTCCATCGCTCGTTGATGCTGCGTCTGTGTCGCCAGAGACGGAGGGAGAAGTAGTGGTAGAGGATCCCTCGTTGTCGCTTTGATCAGGCTCAGCCTTGATTCGACCATCACCCAACTGCGCAGGGCGGACGACCGAGGGTTTGCTATTAATTGGAATTAACAGCCTATTCAGAATATCAGTAGTTGAAAAGAGCGGAGGGACCTACCTCATCTTTGCAATGCTTTCTTCAGAATGTCGCCTGCGGAGTTGTTTTCTTGAAGTTGCAGTGATGTGAAATAAAAGGGAAGAAAGGTGCGAGAACAGGGAACCAGAGTAATAAAACTGTGGCAGTGGGTTGTTGTTTTGGGGCATGTACCTAATGCATGTACTTTTCGATGCTGCTACCTTAGTCAATAGAAGGTCAATGGTAGACATACAAGTACCTCTATCAAAGCCTCCAAACCATAATGGCGAGCTTGCTGTGGTCCTCTCATTGTATTGATGTCCAGAGACCTGTTAATAGACTGGTCGTCGGTAAAGGGAAAGCTACCAATCTAACAATTCTCTAGAGGCCGGTTCAACACCGGTACTGGACAGTCAACTTTCAGACTCGGATAAACTCCCATCGCGTAAAATCCACGGTGAAGTCTGACGATAAAAACAAGGAACCCTTAGTGTCTCTGGTAACAGCTACAAATCCGTCCCCTTTCTTTATGTAGAGGTTATATCCTCCGGCCTCACAGGCACGCAGCACGAATGAATCGTATTGCGACATCCATGGATTGGTAGCCAAGCAGTCATCCTTATCACGGCCCATAAATTTTCCGGAGACAACCTCGCGGAACCCTAACCAGCCTTTATTGCTTTCGCAGCACCACTGCCAGCCTCCAGCGTGACCTGGCTTTGTTACCAGAGTAATCTTTCCCCATTCAAGGGTTATTGCCATCTTAGTCGAGATATCCCGAATCATATACATCTTGTGGTGTTCAGGGACCCTGGGAGTGTCATTCGGCTCACACACGCACCCTGCAACACAACGTTGTGTGACGGGAAGTATGGAGGCGCGTGCCTGGGAGTTTCTCGGGCTGGCGCAGAATGTTGAACGCGCGATATTTTGCTCGGGGGACTCATTTTCTCGTGGTCCGCCAGTTGTGCTAGCCGACGGAGTGAGCATGCCTTGGGTTGACGGAGAAGAAGGGACCTCAGAGAGAGTCGTGATGCCGCTTTGCTCGGGCTCCATCGTGGCTTGACCCTCACGCAACTGTGTATCACGGGTCGTAGGTATGCTAGTAGTTGAAATTAACAACCTGTCCGTGGTATCCTTAGTATCTGAAAGAACAGAGTAACCTACCTCACCTCTGCACGGATTTCTTCGAATCTCGCCTGCAAAGATGCCGATGACGGCTGCAAAGACATTTCCTTAGCGTTGCAGGGCGGTAGCTTGGAAGGGAAGAAGCATTCGAGAATTGCAATAACCAAACTCGCAAGATTGTGGCAACCATTTATTGTTTCTTGGCAAGTAATTTAGGTATCCAAGGTTGCTAGTCAATGGGGCATCAATAGAAGTAGGTTAGATTGTGACTACCTCTATCGAACCTTCCGGAGTACGAGGTTGACCTTGCCATTGTGTCCCATTGAGTTTTTGGCCATGGCTCCTACTATATCAACGTTAGAAGGAAATTTACTGCCGCTATCTCAGTCAATATCAAAGTATCCCCTCAAAGCCTTAACAATGGGTCTCTACCATTGATCCTACAGAAATAGCATGCGCGAGAAGACACAGGCACCTATTCACATCATTAGGCACTTACATCCATACCTGGTCATAATAATCCTCTGGTCGTTGGCAATAGAAACATGAGGTATTAGAGGCAGAGGGTTTGTCATAGAGGCTACTTGATCAAACGCGGAAAAGTAATGATATATCCCACCCAATGGTCTTTTTTACCTACTGGCGACCTCGGCGTGTGCCAGCTGTTGGAATATTGTATGACTTGCCGCAGCTATGGCTACATTACCGTGTGGCACCCTCTGTATGAGACGATCACAGTGATGATCTCCAAATCGTGAGACGATCTCCAGGCGGACATGATCAGCTGCGCGT